GATGTACTTTGATTACGTTTTGAGTCTCTCATCTGATTTCCTAGGATCTTCTTACCTGAAGCTGAGCAGGACGGTTGGGGATTAGATTGAATATGGGATACTATGGAAGCGTTCGTGATGAGACTCATGCAACCATGGTGTCATAACTTGAGGGACTGGGTTCCATGAGAGTGGTGCTGCAGAACTGTATGTGCGAAGCCATTTTTAGGGTTTTTCAAACAAGTTTCATACCGAACCAGTTTCGTACGAAACTTAAAAAGGTTTAGAATTCGTTTCAAAATTCGAAACCTTTTTAAGTTCGGTACGGTACCTTTTTTCTTTCAGTGTACAGGGAAAAAATTTTTTTTACAATGAACACCAACTCTATATGGATTCTTTTAGAGTTTCACCCATATATAATATATACATGATTGGGAATGAAATTGATAAAAGAATTTCAAGAAAAAAGAGGCCCATTGTTTGGAACCTTATCCTCGTACCCCCCTCCAGGAGTCTGGGGTCGGAAATTTTTTTTCAATCTGCAAAGAACTTATTTATATCAACGATGAGGCATACTTCAATGATTATTTACAGATAAAATTTTTTATTAGAAGTGCTAAATGTTGTCAAGATTTTGGTAATATACCTGGGCCATAATTAGCTAAAATAGGGTATTTTGCACCACTATCTCATACGCTACCAGTCAGCCCCTACTATTCCAGAAGATTTGTTCTATGAAACATGTAGAGGCCACTGGTGTGCAGTTTTTGAGAAAGTTTCACGTTGTTGCTCAATTGTCCTGTGGCACAGGACTGAACACACTGAAATGTCATTTTGCCAATAAACAGCCTAGACCTATAGGAAACGACCCTTTTTAATTACAAAAAAAACTGCAGTCAAACTTATCGATTATAAAAAATTGAAGAGCACCTATAACTGTATTGAATTGTGTTTTAAAACGAGATTCATATATATTCATTACAGAACACCATAAAACCCCCAGTATTTGTAAATTCCTATAGATTTATACCCTGTATATGGGCTCTTATGACATGAAAACTCAATGAAAATTTAACTTCCTATATACCATTCGATGCATCTTAAAATTCTCTACAAAATCATATATAGGACGTTCTTGTTCCAACTAGATCACCAAATCCGACAGGGTCCTTATATGAATAAAACCAAGGCTTATCAAGAAATCACGAATGGTATTTGCCCATTAGCCGATAATTTACATTTATTAATAATATTACTTGATCATATACTCGAACGGAATGGAATTACCAATGAACAGTATAAACAAATTATCCTAATTTAAAAACATTAGAATTAGCTCATATTTATTTCAATCTTAAAGTTCATAAGGTAAAATAATTACTTTTCATAGATAATTTTTTAAGCATTTTCTTTTCTAGCCTGAAATATCAGTTCGACCTATTGTTGCTTCAATCAAAGCACCAGCAAGACAAATATCAAGTTTTTTAGATCAACTGCTCACTCCAATTTATAATTATGTGACAAAAGATATAACATTTATTAATAGCATCGATTTGATTCGAAAATTAAAAGACTGTACAGAAAAAGGTTATCTCACTTCAACAACATTATTTGTTACATTTGATGTGGCCGATTTATATACAATGATACCAAAAGATGGTGCTTTTGCTGCTTTAAGACGGTTCTGTCAAAAATATTCTGTCAGTGGCAAAAATTGGAAACCTCAAAATAGATACTATCATTAAATTAGCCTCTGTTGTTTTAGATACGAATAAATTTGCTTACAAAAATAAATATTATCGATAAATTCAAGGCGGTGCTATGGGTTTACCATTTACTATGGTTCTCGTCAATATATATATATGTTAGAATGGGGACAAAAATTAATTCAACATCAAAATAGACATCATAAAATTTATGGCCGGTAAGTTTCAAATTATGATTTCTATATTCTTTTATATTGATACTTTATTAATATTTTGTAGATATATTGATGATATATTTATGACTACGAATTTAATAAATGAAGAAATATTACAACAACTTAATGAAACAATGAAAACAGATCCAAACATTAAAATTACTATTACAATAAATCAAGCATTAGAATATCTTGATGCTAGTATTGAAAATAATAATGGACAATTAAAAACAACTATTTGTCATAAATCAGCTTGGGAACCTCATATTCTACCTTATGAATCTGATCATCCACGATATATTCATGCCAATATAATTTACACAATGTTACTTCGAGCAGCACGTCTTTGTTCAACTGTAGAAGATTTTGATATGGAACGATTAGGTGCAGAAATGATATTATTAGTTAATTGTTATCCACCAAAATTTATACAAAAACACATGAAAAATTTCTTTATTCAATATGATGCGATGAATGTATGGACTGAACTCGATAGTGAAACATATGAACAACTGCATAATACATTACTTTACAAACCAACACGAAGAGAAAATAAATTCAAAGTCCAAACAAATGGACACTTAATTCAAAACAGAAGAAATTATAAACATAAAGATCAAATTTATCTTCATTACAGATTCGAAAATGGACCACGATTAAATTTCAAAAAAGAATATCGTCGAATATGGGAAAAATTCTATGTTTATCCAAGCTCACGCTTCAAAAATACACGACTTATTCTTGGTACAATATTAAATCGTACATTACAAAGTCTTTTGATTCACAAAAAGCCTAAAAAAGATATGTTGACCAGAATGCAACCCACTACAGAAGCAGCTCAAACAACAATACAGGAACGATTCAATCAATGAAAACAATATTACTTCTAACAATCGAAAAAACTCAAGAGCATTTTTCCTCTTTTCTCTTTTTGTTGTCTATCTATGATATTTGTTAACTATCATTAGATCTTGTTAATCGTTGAACATTGTTACTTTCATGTTTATTTTTCTGTTAACTTTGCGAAAGATTTCATATACTGTAGTTTATTCCTTTTTTCATTATTCAAACTATGATATTTGATTATTAAGCATATGAATTCGAATCTTCTTGTTTGATTATTTCTTTTGAAAAAAATGTTCACATTGAAGCTAGACGAATTTCACTGCATTATATATTCTAGATATATACTAATCAACACAACGTTTACCAAAAATAACTTCAAAACGCAACACAACTACCTCAATGATCCCTGTAAGTATTCCTAGTTACAGTAAAACACAACGAATACAGATGTAAAAATTATCCCATGTTTTCACTTCAGAATTACTACCAACCACAATCAACCACACTCAAGTCGACGAACGGCAATCACAAGCAGCTGGCCACAACCATACACATGATGCTAATATTGATCCAATCTACACTGGTCCAACCTTAATAAAAGAACAACCATCAAAACATATGAATGCGACAAACTACACGGCAAGTAGACAACCAAATTTATTCTCATAAGAAACTTTGCACAGAAGTATACTATGTGTATTACTTGTTTCTGCAGTTTTCTCATAAAACTTTCATCAATAATATTACATAGTAGTACATTTATATAATACACTGACACATAATTGATAGCTACAATCTTAGCACTTATCGGAACATGTGTCTTACTAGCTATACATAGATTTTCCTTATTAAATCATTCATTCATTCGTACCCATATATTGGAGAATCTCTTCAAAAAAATTCAGGAAGTTGTCCTTTTGAAAACTTTTTAATAATAATTTAATTGAATTATGATTAACTTGGCAGCCTTCCTTATATAACTTTCGACTATAGTAATTCATAGTAGGAGAAGTACTTTATTTACCATCTTCAATCATTTGCATTATATAAGTAATTGATAAGTTTAATTTTAGCAATTATCCAAGCACGTGTCTTACTAACTATTGATTGATTTTCCTTATTAAATCATTCATTCATTCACATCCACACCGAAAACTATTTATGTTCCAAACGCAATTCGATGAGCTCTATCCAATGATATAATTGTATTCTCTATCACACAAACTATATGGTCAAAAACTCCAAAATATCGATATTTTCCGATAAAATCCACCGAACTACTTTACTAAATCCTACCCCGATTAGCCTACGAACCAGTTCTAAGACTCTTATTGTTATTCCCAGTACAACTTCATAATCTCTATCGAATGATATAATTCAATTCTCCACAACTCAAACTATGTGGTCTAAAACTCAGAAATAACAACTTTTGCGTAAAAGATGCACGGACCCAGCTTAGTAAATCCTGCCTCAATTACCCTACGAACCTGTTAGAAAGCTCTTATTCCTGTTCCAAGTACAACTCAATGAGCTCTATCTGATGGTATAATTGGATTTCCCATAATGCAAAATATGTGATCCAAGAGTTCAAAATACCAATTTTTTCCCACAGGATACCCGCACGTGCATTAGTAAATCTTAACCCACTTTGCCTTGGAAGATGTTCTAACGAGGGAAGGCCACCAACTGTTCAATCGCTTTTGCGTTGAAACCATTTGCATTATGTAGTTCCCAAAGAGTTATGAATACGCAGAATATATTTTGGGCGGATAGCTTATTATTATGAAAATAGTCCATTTGTAAGGTATGTTTTTGATGATTGCCGTGATCCCCTCAGGAACATAAAAAAATTGATTTTCGAATTTCGATTTGAAACTTTACAGAGAAATACTTCTCAACGATAATAGTGTTTTCTAAAAGTTTTAGGCCTTTTGATTGTTTGTTTCACCAAATCTGCTACTTTATTTGAAGGATATAAAGTACAAATTTCACAATAGCAGTGTCTAGTGATAGGAACACTAGAAAGATCTGAAACGTTCACAAAAAGTTGTTCTCCTTGAGGCGTCTTTCTATGTAAAGTTTCAAGTCGAAATTCGAAAATTAATTTTTTTAATGTTCCTGCGGGGGACCCCAGGCACTCAATAAAATC